TGAGACTTGAACTGTGGTTGGCCCTGTGGGAATCCAGCAACATAACCACTATGCCATCTGCTGACCCCTAAACCAGTATTTCTTAAACTTGTCTTGTGCCTTCTACTCTCATTTCTGTATTACTGGGTACCACCTGTATTATTAAATAGTTTTCTTTGAACCACACTTTAAAATTTGGTTCATCCTAAGCAATAATTTCCATAAAAAGATGGAGTTTACTTGCTGATTATACTATACAGCTATTAAAATACAAAATATGCACCTGAGTGGCACTGTGGTAAGGGTACTATACTTGGAAAAACAATGTGAAACTACTGAAGAGTCATGTATGCATTTCAGGACACTGGCATTAAAACTATATTGCCAACACAATCCCTTGTACAAGAACAGAAAAATTCTTTAGGAGTGTATGTTTTGATTTTTAGTTTGGAAAAAATGTCATTGAAAGCAACAGGTAAGGCAACGGTTTAGAAGATAAATACTTGGTTACATAATATTCAATTGCTCTTTAACTGTCTCTGGATTTTTTTTTTTCTTTAATGAGAGAGGAAAGGAGGAAAGAGTATTATTATCATTATTATTATTATTATTTTAGGTTCTTGCCATAGGGTGCGTGTGCTTGGCAGAGAGAGACAGGAGGAGGGAAAGTGAGAAATCACTCCCTGGGGGGGATGGCCACATTACAGTCCCTTTTCCTATATCCTCCTCTCAGGATTTGGGACATGCAGACACATACACTAGGAGTGATTTTCAAGTCACCAGGTCTGGGACTCAAACTGTGGTTGCCCATCTGGGAATCCAGCACCTTAACCACCATGACTGCTGGCCTAGGAAGAGTATTTTTGAAACAATCTCGCCAGGCCGCAATCCTCTCACTCTAGCCTCCCAGATAGCTAGGATTATAGACATGCACTGTTGCACCTAGTTTAGGTTGGCCTGGGAACTGAACCCAGGCCTATTATGTGGCTCTTGCATCACACAGAGGTGTCTTACTACTTTCACCACTGTGGGTGGCCTTATTACAGGATTCTATGGCTTTGTTAATGGACAGTTTCAGGGAGGGATGGCAAATAGGCTTATGACAGATCAATTAGTGGAGACTGCACAGAGTGCTCCTGGCTACTCGAAGGTCACCAGGAATAGTATGTGGAATGCTGTGAACGACTGGGGTATTTGCCATGGACATGGGTAGAGAATCATCTCATGTACTTGTTATGATTTAGGCAGTCAATAATTTGTACAAGAATAAATAGTGGGAAAAGAAATAGATAAAGACAAAGATTACTAATTTCAAGCAAAAATACATATAGATAAAAAAATCATACTCATAATAGCAGTGCGTTTTTCAACTTACCAGGGTGGGGACCGAAACTGTGGTCAGCTATGAGGGATCTGGCTTTCCTTAGCCACTAGGCGACAGAATCAGAAACGACTTTCTTTTGTTTTTTAAAAAAAGAATTATTTTATTTAAATTTATTTACTTATTTTAATTTGGCCAGAGAGGGAGGGAAGGAGAAAGGAAAAGAGGGAGAGAGAGAGAGAGAGAGTGATGGAGAGGGAGAGAAACTGAAAAGGCAAGCCACCAGGTCTGGGACTCGAACCCATGGTCAGCCATGTGGGAGTGCAGCACTCTTAATCACCATATCATCTGCCAGTCTTGGAAACTTTTTTTTGGGAGAGGTTTTTCCCATAGGGCGCATGTGCTTGCCAGAAAGACAGAAAGACAGAGAGACAGAGAGAGAGAGAGAGAGATAGAAAGCGAGAAATCACACTCTGGGGGGATGGCCATGCCGCAATCCCTTCTCTTCCATTCTCCTCTCGGGATCTTGGGCACGCACGCACACGCGCCCGGCGTGAGTTTAAGCCACTGGGTCTGGGACTTGAACCGCGGTCGACTACATGGGAGTCCAGCGACATAGCCATTATGCCAACTGCTGGCCCCCTGGAAACTACTTTTTAACCACTCTCCCTCCCCAGTAAATATACTCAAACATACTGAAAGGAATACACAATAGAAATATATCATGTCTGCTATGGTTGGTACTGCAGTTTTAGAGGTAGCACTGATGATAACATGGTACACCGTGAAGGAAGAAAACTCTGGGAAAGCCATGGGGAATTCCACGGGGTTTCTTAAGGGTCAGGTTGTCTGTGAGTCCTCAATAGTCTACTCCGTAAGCAACGTCAAACCAAACAAAAAAAGAGCTAACATAGTATATACCACTTACAAATAGCTTAGTCTCTATGCTTGCCTGTCAACCCAAGGGAAGACATAATTATATTAAGACTACTTATCCTAACGGTCCTATCTCAACAAAATTGTGAGTTCTTTTATGGTAATCTATATATACTCTGGTGTTTTTACATATAAAACCAATAACACAGTAAGTAATAATAATACAGGAGGCTTAAATAAAGAAATAGCCTGTAGTTTTGAACCAACCTAAGTAATTCATTCTTATATGGGATAAAAAATACTGAGTTGTCAGAAAGGTCATAACGTATTTTTCTATGCAAAAATGTGTTGTGACTTTTCAGATGACCCAATACTTATTTAAACAATGATTCCCAAGAGAGAAGGCTAAATATCTATTTTGACAAACTTCAGCTATACCCGAGAGAAAAGAAATAAAGAAAATGATTTTAATCTAAATGGAACTATCCTGAACAGGCTCCATGAAAATCCTCATAATAACCTGCTACGTTGTAAGGATGAAGCTCATTTGCCACAGGAATCCAGGATATAAGCTAGGTGAATACTGTGTACAAAAAAGGATACCAGATGAAGACATTTTAGTTCAGACTTTCCCAGGAATGAAAATCACTTTGTAATATTAACATTTTTGGGGGCCAGGAGATAAAGTATTTTGTAATGAGGCCAACTGCCTGGAAATCTCATAGCAAAACCAATTCATTATATAAGAGAAAAGTTAGGTTGTGCTGGACCCAATATGAGAATATAGTCCGCATCACTTAACGATGGGGATACATTTTGAGAAACGTACCATTAGGCATTTTATTGTTGTGTGAACATCATGAGGTTCATTTACATAAACCTGGATAGTACAGCCTGCTATACGCCTAGGCTATATGTTACAGCCTATTATTATCTTATGGGACTGCCCTGCCCCCATTTTCAGAGAGATTTTTGCTATAGGGCACATGTGCTTGCCAGAGGGACAAAGAGACAGAAGGTGAGAAATCACCCCTCAGGGGGGATGGCCATACTGAAATCTCGTCTCCATTCTCCTCTCAGGATTTTGAGCATTCATGCACACATGTCCAGCATGAGTTTTAAGCCACCCTTCCAGGACTCAAACTGAGGTAAACTATGTGGGTATCCAGCAACGTAACCCAGGACCCCTTTGTATATGTAGTCAATTGTTGATCAAAACGTCATTATGAAGGTCTGGAGGTAGCATGGAGGTTAAGGTGCTGGATCCCATATGGCTTTGTGGTTTGTGTCCTGGGCCCGGAGGTTTAAAAATCATGCTGGGTGCCTATGTGTATGTGCCCAAAATCCTAAGAGGAGGACTGGAGTAGGAGAGATTCTGGCTTGGCTATGCCACCTAAAAGGATGATTTCTCACTTTCCTTCTTTCTCTCTCTCGGGCGAGCTTACACACCCTATAGCAAAAACTCAAAACAAACCAAAAACAAAGAAAAGGTCATTATGTGATACACAACTATCTTGAAAAGTTTCACGTAATAAAAGAAGAATGTCAGTTTTGCCTGTATTTCCAACTTTTCCAACACTTGACTTTGTTAAGCTGAGAGTCTATAAGAGTTGGTTTTGGGTTACAAAGCAATTTAGACATAAACTAAGGTACTTAAAGATTAACTTACTAATGTACACATGTTTCCCAAAATGTATTGTCAAAGTACATTAAATATATGATTGCTTACAAGGGTCAGACAAGCAATATAAGTGAAATAAATAAGCGATACGTCCTAGGTGGTATAGGTCAAAGCAAATTACATATGCCCCATCTAGTGTGCTAGCCTAAGAGTCCCTGTACTGCCAAGCTCTCCTCTCACTTTTTAAGAAAAACCATCATGATTTTAGTATGAAAACTCCCATTTTTCACTGGGGACAATGAATTCCAACAAACAACAAAACAATAGTAAAACCAACAACTCACTGGGCCAAATTCTAGAAGCATAAACCAATAACTACTTGTGTGACCAATCAGCATGGGCAATACAGTATGATGTCCAACTCCTGTGGCCAAAGCACATGAGAAGACTGAGGTTTCCAGACAGTATAAAGAGGACTTTTAATTACCGATCACTTTCCTATGTAAGTGAAAATGGCAAAGTTAGAAGCAGACAAAAGGCTAAGATGAGTGTACAAGGGCAGACAATTATGACTGTAGAAGAGTTGGGAAGAGCTCCGAAGGTGAAAAAGAATTTGAGCTTTAGGTAGAATATTTAAAGTAAAGGAGGAAGATGTGGTCAAAACATTAAGAAAGAAAGATGACATTGGTTTTACTACAATGATGAAACCACTGAACTCTTTCACTTGCAACCAAACCAGAAAGGGAAACAGAAGACCCACAAGACTACTACTGTAGAAACCACTAGCACCCATTACTTCTTTATTATTAATTCTGTGCTCGGATCAAATTCAAAGGATTGAGGCATTCATTGCTTATTTCCATGTGGTCACTCTAAAACATGCATATTTATAGTAATTTTATTAATGGTTATATTATCTCCACCTGCTAACTTGTCCAAAACAAGCAAGCCCATTTATTGGCTTCATGTTCACTGTTACTTTAAAATGAAGTGAGTCAGTATCTTGTGAATTAATATTTGACTTGTTCCGTTGTCTGCAGTTCTTTTTCAGGGGAAGGGTCGGTCAGAAAGGAAAACTGTTTCTTGTCTTATACTTACAGATAGGCAAATACCAGTTAGCTTTATAAGCCCGAGAGAGGTACGTATTCCTGCTTGTCTTGATTTTGGCACAATCACATCGCTTAATAAAAAAATGAGACATACCCTAAGATCAATGACTCTGTTGTCTAATCTTGTATCCTGGTTAACAGTAGCTCTTCCTTCCTAAAAAAGAAGAGAGAGAGAGAGAGAGAAACCAGATTTTGCTAATTTTCTTATAATAAAATCCACTTTTAGAAGCCGTGTTTACTTTCAAGTGAGAATGGGTATATGTGTGTTAATATTATGCTTGAAAATCAGGGATCTAAAATGGTGGAAACAAGTAGAAGGCTAGAGAACAGCTAGTGGTTAAGACAACGAGAAGGAAAGAAGAGAAGTGAGAATGAACAAGTGTTAATGCTTTCTTTCCCTCCTCCACCTCAAAAGCTTTGCTTCATTATTGAGACATCAGAAGAATTAACCATCTGCACCTTCACTGATTTCTGGATTTAACGTGTCAGTCCCAGGTCGAAGGAACAGATAAAAGCTGACACAGATTAGTGGTTTTAAAAGTACAGTCTGGGGGCCACTGAAGGTCCCTGCTACTCTTTCAGGGGGTCCATAAAGTCAACCCTGTATTTTCATACTAATCCTCACTCTCATTCCTCTTGAGCGTACTGATGAGTTTTCCAAGGTTAGATGACATATACTTCCACAACAGAATGAATGCAGAGGCAAACTGGGAACCTAGTTGTGTTCTACTAAACCAGGCATTACCAAGGTTTCTAGACAAGCAGGCTCTTCAAAAGTTCATGGAAATGTGTATTATGAATGAACCATGCATGGACTTCAAAATGTTTTGCACCAAAATAGCCTCAAACTTTAATTGTATTTTCCCATGAATTTTTTTAAGTCCCCATATATATAATGTGATGTCACTTTGACACTAAATAATTTTTTAAAAAAATAGTTATTTTTTCTTATTTATATGAAAACAATATATACAATTTCAATGTTTATATTATTGTTATTTTTAACTGATTAATACCCTAAAACATGTCTTAACTATAAATAAAAACTGACAGTGTATCAACAACAACTAAAGTGGGTATGGTCTTCAATTATTTTTAAGTGTAAAAGGGATCTGAGACCAAAATGTTTGACAATTGCTGATATAAGAATAAATTTAAATACAGAGCTCAAATCAATTCACAGGTGCCCTTAATATAAAAGTAGACTCTGAATTTCAATGCTTTGCAAACTAAACATACAGAGTAAACACAGTATTTTGTAAGTGTAATTTTTACCTCCTCTCCTTCCACCTCAGGCCGAATGGCATCATCCAGCTGCAGGGGCAGGCGGGGTTCCGCCAAACTGATCACATAAATCTGAAAGTGAGAGCACCAAAAATAGCAAAAAGGACACAAAACCCGTTATCTTTTGTTTGAAAAAAACAATCTACGGTTGACTTAAACATGAAGCAAAGTTTGCATACATCTTTAACTGAAACTACTTGGTAAATCAAAGAAGATGATACATGTTTTCACATATAACATGGGGACAGTAATATTTTTTGCCCATCTCTATGGGTTGTTGGAGTTAAATGCAATCAAGTATATCCAAATACTTCGTAAACTTTAACAGTGCCTACCAAGGTAGTAAGTAATGACCAGGGTGCAGGGGACCTGGATTAAGGTCTACAATCGTCATATAAAAGCTACTGTTAGGCAGATCACTTCATCTCAGAGTTTCAGTTAAATTGAAGACTGCTGTCAGAATCGAACAGAATAATAAATGTAGAAACACTTTACTCATGTGAAGGGCTCCTCACATATGAGTTACATTGTTAACAGCATTTGGTCAACACATTAGGATCAAATTCAGCCCAGCTCGGCTATACATCTATTTCCTTTTCTCATTCTTTCTTTTTCCAAGTATCTCTTCATTGCCTCCTCTCATCAAATATGTATCTCGTTTCCTGCTATTCTCCTGATTTAAGAGTTACCATAAAGGATGTTCCTTTAAGGTGTTCGAATCTCTCAATGTTCATTTTACATTTTAGTGATAAAAAGTTAGGTTAAAAAAAAATAAAGGTAGTTTTTTTTTTGTTTGTTTGCTTTTGGTTACCTTTAAAAACATGTCAATGTATGAGTTATCTCCAACTATGCCTAGAAAATCTGATACAGCACAAAAAGGATACAGACCTTATTTAGCTAATTCAGAAAAGGGAATTATATTCTTCTAGTGGCAAACCACATTAAGCATTCAGCTCAGACACTTCCAGAAAAAGTATCAGAAGGGTACTCTTTTTTATATTTTACTACTCTTTATAGTAAAATATAATTATTTGTCACCACCACCTATACTCAAATTGTAGGGTTCCTTTAGATGAATTTACGGAAATTCGATCACTAACCCAAAGTTGAAGAACTAGAGATCTACTTCTTTTACTATAATAACAAGTGGAAATTGATCATCTCCTTCACTAGGTTGTGAGTACTTCAATCACCCGAACTTCACAAGGCACTTGGTTCAAAGTATATATAATTAGGATCTACTGGTTAAATAGATAAATATAAAATAAAGGGAAGTCATTGCTTATTTTAAGAGTCTACACTGTATATTATACTATATGTTTTGTGAAATACTTCTTCTTTTTTTTGGTTTTTGCTATAGGGTGTACATGCTCGCTGGAGAGAGTAAGAGAAGACAGTGAGAGGGAAAGTGTGTGTGTGTGTGTGTGTGTGTGCACCCCAAGTCCGTAGATAAAAAAGACGGAATTGTGGTGTGGACATCCCCCCTCGGGGGGGGTATTTCTTGTTTTCTGTTTCTCTGTGTGTCTCTGTCTCTCTGGAGAATGCAAGCCCCCTATAGCAAAACTCTCTCTATAAAAGGAAAAAAAAATTCATGAGTTTCCTGATAACCCAAGAGTGTACTTTTTTTTTCTTTTTAAAAGAGATTTTTGCTATAGGGTACGTACACTGTTTGGAGAAACAGAAAGTGAGAAATCACCCCCCAGGGAGGATGGCCATGCTACAATACCTTCTCCATTCTCCTCTCATGATCTTGGGCATGCATACACACACGCCTGGCATGAGCTGGGTCCGGGACTCAAGCTGTGGTTGGCCATGGGGGAATCTAGCGATGCGATCATTACGCCATCTGCTGGTCCATTCATGACACATTTTTGCACAGAAAAATACATCATGACTTTCCTGATGACCTAATACAGGCTAGGCAATAAGAATACCTTAAAAGTACATTTGCTTGCTCTAGTGACTAAAATTTTCTTTATTAAAGTACTAAAAGGGGCATATAAATTGGAAGAAGAAGGTACTATCTTGGTCAGCATAATGAACTAATTTTTCCTTTTCTTTAAAAAAAATTATTTACTTATTATTATTTTAATTTGTTATTGGGCACGTGTGCTCACCAGAGAAAGAGAGAGAGAAAGTGAGAAAGCAAGTTGCCAGGTCTGGGACTCAAACCACCATCAGCCATGTGAGAGTCCAGTGCCTTAACCACCATGCACCTGCTAGCCCTCAATTTATTCATTCTTTACTCTTACTGTTGGGTTAGTTTATTTTTACTAGATTATAGACTTCCTAATGGGGTTGGTTTGAAGAGATTTATACAAAGAGAGCAAAGTAATTTGTCAAGGGAGATCAGTAAAAAAAAAAAATAAATAAATAAAAACAAGATTTTCTAAGCCTCGAAGAATTTCATGCCAGTCAATTCCAGTTAAATATAACTTACTCCCCAACCAGTGAGTAGGTATGTGTCTACCTCTCTCAAACTGTCTATCTGCCTGCTCTTACACATGATTGTTGTGGCATACAGGCACATGTAAGAGGGTCTTAGAGACTGGTTCTGGAGCCAGCAGGTGGCATGATGGTTAAAGTCCTATCTCTGTGTCTTCCTCTTTCTTCCATAACGGAGAGAGAAAAAAGTAGAGCTGGAACTTATTTCTCCATCTCTTAAATCTGAGTTTTGCCATTTGACTGATCAATGGGATATTCAGCAAATATAGCACAAGCAGAAGCCTGAAAAATACTGGTATAGTGGGGCTTCTCTCTCTTGCCTCTGGAAACACTTCTGTTACCATATTGAAAAGGAGCAGTCACAGAAACAGTTGTTGCAGATCTAACAGTGAGTCCAGGCAATGCCATGTGGAGTAGACAAGTCATTCCAGAAGGGCCCATACTAACTTCTTGACTCACAGAATTGTGAACAAATAAATGTCTGTGGAACACTTGTATTATAGTGATTTGTTACATAACGAAAGCTAATTGATTCAGTAACAGACTTAGGGATCTCAATATTTTACATCGACACTTATTAAGAACATTATGTGATAGGAAAAGCTGTATGAACCACTCAAATCTATTTCTTTTTTTGGGGGGGGAGAGATTTTTCACTATAGGGCATGTGCGCTCGCCAGACAGACAGAGAGAGACATAGAGACAGAAAGCGAGAAATCACCCCCCCAGGGGGATGGTCATGCTACAATCCCTTCTCCTCCATTCTCCTCTCAGGATCTTGGGCACACATGCACACACACCAGGCGTGAGTTCTAAGCCACCGGGTCCGGGACGCGAACCGTGGTCAACAACGTGGAGTCCAGCGACATAGCCATTACTCTAACTGCTGGTTCCCTCAAATCTATTTCTGCATACCATTTATATTCTGGAAAAAGTTACCTTCTGAACATGTAACTCAACATCTTGCTGTGTGCAGCTTCCGATTTTCTGATTCACTTTTCTCACAACTCCTTCTACATCTACGATGCTCTCTTTGTTGATACTGTCAAGAGAAAAATTTCCCAATTTTAATCATCTCATCAGAGGTGTCAAAATGCATTTGGTGTTTCAGTGGTAAAATTGAGTATGTTCTTTAATATAGTGAAGCACTTGAGATAGTCAGTCTGCTTAACCTACTTACAATAAGCTATTACGTAGTATATCTTGTGAGATTCCTTTTAGAGATGATGTTTTTAGATGGCATAATTTAGTTACCATTTACAAAATACTTGGACATAAAAGGCAAGAGGAGTAGTGCTGAACTGAGAAAAGTAGTAAAAAGCCTTTCAATTATTTATTAAAGAACATTTCCCTCCCAAATTTGAAATTCACTAAGATCAGCATTTCCTATAATGAAAAGCACTGGCTTCAATAAATGCAATTACTTGTATGTAATAGAATTAAATAATAGAAGAAGGTCAACTGAAAAGATTTCAAGGTAATAAGGGAACATTAGGGTTCTGTTTTACAATTAAACCCTCACTGCCTATACAGTTTCTGATATACTTTGAAGCTGGATTTATCACAGACAATTTACTAGACTGAGTACTCTCACTGGAAAGAAATGCCTATGTGAAACTTAATATATGATGAGTGTGAAACAAATGCATCTCCTGGACAGTTTATTCTCTTTTAAAAAACACTCCAGAGGGCACATGTGCTGCCAGAGAGAGACAGAGGGAGAGAAAGCACCCCTCTAAATGGGGTGTGGTCATTCTAAAATCCATCATCTTCCATCCTGCTGGGATTTTGGGCATGTACATACATGCACCTGGTGTGTTTTTGAAGCTGTTAGGTCCAGACCTTGAACTGCATGGTCAGCCATGTGTAATCTGGCTCCCTTAACCACTAGGCTATGGGCTAGCCCTTCTGTGCAATTGATTCTATAACAAACTTGAAATTCTGAAACATAAGGTTTATGAAGGAGCTTATTTAAACACAGTGTTTTTTTTCTTTTTCTTTTTTTTTGGAGAGATTTTCACTGTAGGGCGCGTGCGCTCGCCAGACAGACAGAGAGAGACATAGAGACAGAAAGCGAGAAATCACCCCCCAGGGGGGATGGTCACGCTGCAATCCCTTCTCCTCCATTCTCCTCTCGGGATCTTGGGCACGCATGCACACGCACCCGGCGTGAGTTTTAAGCCACCGGGTCCGGGACACGAACTGCGGTCGACTACGTGGGAGTCCAGCGACATAGCCATTACGCTAACTGCTGGTTCCCTAAACACAGTGTTTTGATTTCTATCTAGTACATACCAAGATAGAAAAATATAATCCCCAAATGGTGATACCAATACAAAATGTACCAGTTTTACTATTCTGCATATTCACCTACTAACAGAGTAAGTATGTCATCATTTATTTGGTTAAAAGGATAAAGTTTAACCTTCATGGAAAAATTCTGTTTATTCTGATGAGGAACTGGGTCTCAAGTAGTCAGACATTCCAGAAACCCAACAGTGCTTATATTACACAAAAGAACACCATAATCCATTGCAATGAATATCTGTCACGGATATAAAAGGATCGAAATAAGGAGTGGTAATAGGGGAGGAAAAATTTCACTTTGCTTTATTATACTGCCTTGAACTCTATGTCTGTTACCCATTACCGTAAACAAACAAAAAACAAAAAACAAAACCCAGTGGTATATATCTCTTGCATTCTCATAAGTCTTCTACACTAGAGCTATCACCAAATATCTAGCCAAAATCTTGTGTCCAAAAGAAATTCAGTATTTATTATGGCAAAAAATGTAGTTGGTGGACTATGATAAGGCTCCTCTGAGACCTGACGGATCAAGAGGCTTTAGTCTACTGCTATGAAGCTTCCTAGTACTGGCAATCCAATGCCACGGAATCTCTCTCCAATGTGACTGCCCGCTGCTCACTGTCTCATGTGTTTGACAAACGAACCTGACATGTAAGTTAGACTTTGCGAGAATTCTACTGCTCATCTCACATCTCCAAGAGGAAGGCCTTCTTCTCCTCAGAATCAGTGCACTGCTTCACTGAGTACCCTGACCTGCCCCAAGTACAGCTCTATCCTGTTACTTTTCCACCATGATCCTGACTCCTAGGTTCTCTTACCTTACACCATTTGAAGGCATTTTCTGGCCATCTAGACCTTCTGTTAAACATATCTACTTTTTAAAAAGGTTTTTGCCATAGGGCATGTGTACTCACTCACCAGAGGGGAGAGAGACAGAAAGAGAGAAATCGCCCCCAGGGAATGGCCATGCCACAATTCCTTCTCCTCCATTCTCTTGAGATTTTGGGCATGCAGGCACACATGCTGGCGTAATTATATTTATTTATTTTTAATTATTATTTTACTGGAGCCAGCAGACAGTGTAATGATTTTGTTGCTGGACTCCCACATAGTCAACTACGGTTTGAGTTCTGGATCTGGTAGCTTAAAACTCACCCTGGTCACATCTGCGTGTATGCCCAAGATCCTGAGAGGAGAATGGAGAAGAGATTACAGTATGGTCACCCCTCTGGGTTCTGTCTCTCTTTTTCTCTGGCAAGCACATGCGCCCTATAGCAAAAATCTCTCTAAAAAAACCCATAAAACAAAAAGAGAGTTTATCTAATTTTATGATTATTTATTGTTTTAAAATTTCAATCTTTTTAAAGTATTATTTCCTTTATTTTATCATTATTATTATTTTTAATTTTACCAGTGCAAGACGTACAGAGAGAGGGAGGGAGGGAGAGAGAGAGAGAGAGAGAGAGAGAGAAAGAGCAAGTCACCAGGCCCAGGACTTGAACAATGGTCAGCCATGTGGGAGTCCAGTGCCTTTAACCACCATGCCACCTGCTGGCTCCTATTATTATTATTATTATTATTTAAATTTGACCAGAGAGAGACACAGAATGAGACAGAAAGAAAGTGAGAAAGCAAGCCATCAGGTCTGGGACTTGAACCACAATCAGAATCTAGCTGCCTTAACCACTATGCCAACTGCTGGCCCCGACATATCTACTCTTAAGAGTTAGGCACCCTGCTAGTATCCTTTCAGGAAGAAGCTGGAAGGCAGTCAAAGACATTGCTAGGTGTGTTCAATGAACGACAGCAAAATTTTTCTTTTCTTTCTCTCTCAAAAGTACCAGATGACCCTTTTAAATTTTTTTCGTTTGTTTTGTCAGAAGATGCATGAATTCGCTGGAGAGAGAGAGGGAAAGTAAGAAGGTATCCCCTAAAAGGCATGGTCACAGTGCAATCCCTTCTCCATCTCTCCTTCCTTTTGGGATCCTGGACATGCATGCACACGGGCCCAGTGTGTTTCTCAAGCTGCTGGGTTTAGAATTTGAATTATGCAATCAGCCATGTGGGATCTAGCTGCCTTAATCACCACACCACTGGCCAGCTCAGACAACTCCTTTTTTTTCTTTTTCTTTTTTGTAAGAGAGAGAGGAAAACGGAGAAATTACCTCCCAGGGGGAATGGCCACGCTGTAATCCCTTCTCCTCCATTCTCCTTTTGGGATTTTGGGCACACATACACACACATGAGTCTGGCATGAGTTTCAAGGCACTGGGTCTGGGACTCAAACTGTGGTCAAATATGTGGGAGTTCAGTGGCGTATCATTATGCCTGTTTGCTGGTCCCCAGATGACTCCTTTTATTCAGGACCTGACATTTGGAACCTCGTCTATCTTCAGTACTTTACTTAATTCAGTTGTATTATATGCTAAAATACTTGTTCAGCTAGACTAGAAAATTATCACCATTTTAAATACTGTTTCTAGTACTAAACAACTTATAAATAACTTTTTTTCTGGAGGTTTTTTTTTTTTTGCTATTGGGCGCATGCGCTCGCCAGACAGAGAAAGAGACAGAGAGAGAGAGACAGAAAAGGAGAAATCACTCTTCAGGGGGGATAGCCACACCACAATCCCTTCTCCTCCATTCTCCTCTTGGGATCTTGGGCACACACACACATGCACCTGGTGTAAGTTTAAGCCACCAGGTCTGGGACTCGAACCACGGTCGACTACACGGAGTCCAGTGATATAGCCATTATGCTAACTGCTGGTCTCTGAAAACACAACTTCTGTCTTTCTTTTTTAGAGAGCGATTTTTGCTACAGGGTGTGTGTTCTCGCCAGAGACAGGGTATGTGTTCTTGCCAGAGAGACAGAAAGCGAGAAATCACTCCCCAGTGGAGAGGGCTACAGCACAATCCCTTCTCCATTCTCTTCTTGGGATTCTGGGCATGTGTGCATACACACATGCCTGGTGTGAATTTCAAGGTACCAGATCTGGGACCCAAATTGCGTTTGACTATGTGGGAGTCCAGTGACTTAACCACTACACCTTCTGCTGGTCCCCATAACCTATTTCTTAAACTTGGGCCAAAGCTAAACTTCTGTAATTATCAATTGTTTTACTGAGTCAATGAGAAAGAAGGCAAGGTTAATCAGATATAGAGGATACTAACAAACTTTTTTGCCCTTACTATTGCAGTATTTCCTCTTACACCTAGCTGTTAAAATAATAGCTTATTTAGATATTAGTAAATCATTACGTAATTAAAAAAAACCTTAGGTAATTTAGCTCTAATCTTTAAATATATACAGCCATATCTTTATCTATCCCTATCTATTTGTAGACATACAGTGAATTCAGAAACAAAAAAGGTCAGATTTGTAAAAAAGGGTCAGACTAAAATGTGCTAACTAGAAGCAGTAAAGGTAAGACATGTGTGGGACACAGAAGGTTTTTTATCTGTTGATGAGGATGTGTACAATAGTCTCCACTGGGCTGGACTGAGGTGCATATCATGCTGGGTAAAGTCTCTTCACAATCTAAAAAAAAAAGAGGCTATCTGAGGGTGTGAGTGAGTGTGTGTGTGTGTGGGTAATAACAGTCAGAACAAGAGAGGTAAGATTATTATGCATAGATTACTACCAGTAGAAAGAAAAAATTCACTTTGAGGAAATGCAGTGTCCCTGATTTTAATGACGTTGTATGTGAAGGTGACACACACACAGTACGA